TGAAGTAGAAAGGGCTGAAGGTATCAGAATTTGTGAAGTCAGTCAGTTGTTGTCAAAAAGTCAATGAGAGAGTCTGGATGAAAGGTGGGTCCATCAGCGAGAAGGGAAGGTAAAGAGAGAGCAGCAGAGCGAAGACGATGACGGAGGTAAATTCTGCGTGCTCGTTGATAAAGTGGGCAGTCTAACAGAATGTGGCTGACTGATAATGGAACTTGGAAATTCTCACAGAGATGAGCAGGTTTCCAGGACAACCTACGATCAAAGAGGAGGCCCAGAAACTTGACTGTATCACGTTCAGGGATACGGGAGCCATAGAGGTACAAAGGATGATCGGAGATGACAGAGCGTCTAGTGAAAGTGATTTGGTGGGTTTTAGTGCTGGAAAATTTAAACCCACGTGTGGTGGCCCAATTGGAAACACGGTCGACTGCATGTTGGAGAGAAACTGAAAGGAGGTGACAGTCAGCGCCTGCACAGGCAATAGCGAAGTCATCAACATAGAGTGATGACCAAATATTTGATGGAAGACTAGAGGCCAAATCATTAATAGCAAGGAGAAAAAGTGTTGTGCTCAGAACACATCCCTGGGGGACACCTTCAGCTTGGATAAAGTCCGGGGAGAGCACATTATTAACCCGAACACGGAAATGCCTGTCAGTTAAAAAGTTCTTAAGGGAAAGGGTGGTAGATTGCCTCGAAGGCCTAAGGAGTGGGCTTGGGCTAAAATATTATACCTCCAAGTTGTGTCATATGCCTTCTCAAGGTCAAAAAATATGGCAATAACTGAGTGGTTATTCGCAAAGGCATTACGAACATACGTATCCAAGCGTAGTAAGGGGTCTATGGTAAACGTCCCTACGAAAGCCATATTGACGAGTGGAGAGACTGTTGTGTGTCTCTAAATACCACACTAAACGTCTATTTACTAGGCGTACCATCACTTTGCAAACTGCACTGGTAGAGCAATGGGACGATAGTGGGAGGTTTCATGTCCCGTAGTGCCTGGTTTGCGGAAAGGGAGAACAATGGCGGATTTTCCACAGCTGTGGAAGAACTCCTTGTGACCAAATAAGATTGTAAAGGCGTAATAGGACTGCAAGGGCTGACTGATGTAAATGTTGTAGCATACGAATATGAATGTTGTCGGGCCCAGCTGCCGATGATCGGCAAGCTGAGAGTGTTGCCTCCAGTTCTTGAAGTGTAAAAGGCACATTATACTGTTCTTCTCTGAGAGAAGAAAAGTCCAAGGGTGCTAACTCTCTTGCAGACTTTGAGGAAAGAAATGAGGGGCATAGATGGAGTCCCTGAGAAATGTAGACCAGATGATTGCCAATTTCATTGGCAACATCTAGTGGGTTTGCTATATCAACACCGGCAACCCGCAGAACAGGAGCCGGGTCAGAATATTTACCACTCAGTTTTCGTACTTTTTTCCAGACTGCACTCATAGAGGAAGCAGAGGTGATGGTGGAGACATAATCTCGCCAGCAAGTGCGTTTAGTGTCACGGATGACACGGCGAGCGATCGCACGCTTCTGCTTAAAATCAAAAAGTCTCTCTGTGGTTCTACTGAACCGGTACCTGCCCCATGCAGCGCGTTTCAAGCGTACTGCACAAGCACAAGCAGGAGACCATCAAGGCACGCATTTCTGAGAATGCCTGCCCGAAGTTTGGGGTATAGAATGAGAAGCTGCGGTTAAAACGGAGGACGAGAAGAGGTGTAAAAGCTCATCGATGGAGGACGAAGAAGGAACCTCTCTAAAAACAGTTAGGTGTGAGTAAAGGTTCCAATTTGCCTGATCAAATTGCCAGCGTGGGATGCGAAGAGGTGGTGAATATGAAGGGGAAGTAAGAATGATTGGGAAATGATCACTGTCATGTAAGTCCGGAAGAACAGACCAAGTGAAGTCTAATGCGGCGGAGGAAGAGCAGACTGAGAGATCGATGCAAGAGAGAGTGTGAGTCCGAGGATCAAAATGGGTGTGAGTACCTGTATTTAAAACATGGAGGGGGTGGGTGGCGAGAAAAGCCTCTAACTGAATGCCACGGGAATCACAGTGAGAACCCCCCAGAGGAAATGGTGGGCATTAAAATCACCAAGTAACAGAATCGGTGGTGCTAATGACGAAACAAGAAAGGCAATATCCGGAATAGATAATGCCCGAGAAGGAGAGAGATATAAAAAAACAGAGCGTATACCCTATGCAATGGATACAGGCTGCTGTGTAATGCAGCGAAGTACGAACAAATAGCTGAGGTACGGAATATCAGTGCGTAGAAGAAGGCACTTTCTTTAAAAGGGTCCCATCAGGAAAAGGATCTGAAGAATACAATAAATTATAGCCTGAGATGGGAGAGATAACAGCAGAGTGTAATTTTGGTTCCTGTAAGCAAACACCAACAGTGGAAAACTGGGAGAGTAACATCGAAGCTCACCCCGATTACCCCTGAGGCCGCGTATATTCCACTGAAAAAGGGCCATGATTGGCAATGATAAAGATACCTGAAATCCGCAGGTAAGGGTCCTAGGGACTAGAGGGGTTAGAAAAGTCCACATGCGGAGGCAGTGGAAAACGTTCAAGCAGCGAAGGAACAGTGCGCTGTGAAGAAAGGAGTTGCGCAGATGGAGTAGAGGAGAAGGAGCAGAGGGTGGATCAGTGTCCATGATGGTTTGGTCTCTGCAATATATTCAGAGATTGCTTCAAGTGTTTCAGAATTCAGAGACGTCGTATAGGAGACAATATTGGAAATGGTAGGGGGAGGATGAGTAAAGATTGGAACTGTAATGGACTGTACCAAGGTAGGGGGGGGGGGGCGAAAGGGTGGAGGGAACTGGAGAAGCAGGGAAAGGGGGACAGAAGAGGCAGAAACCTGGGAGGTGGCAGAAGAGGAAGAAACTTGGGAGGGAAACGGGGGGGAAGGTACAGTACAAGGAGGAGGGTGAACCTCTACACTTTTAACAGAGCCAGGAGAGGGGGAGAACCGGGTACAGAGACAGGGAAGGGGAAAAAGAGGGGTGGAAGATGGGTAGGAGGTGTTTAACGGACCTTTTTTTGACTTTTGAAAAAGTAGAGGGACGATTGGGAGGAGGTGTCATACGAGATCTCGTCGCTAACTGAGGCTTGTGAGAGAGAACACGAAGCGAGATCAGACTGAACGTAGAAGTAGGGACGTCTGAGCCGAGGACAGCAAAAGAAAATTACTACAGGAGTTTACTATGGGGGAGGGAAACCACAGAGGTGGGTGCAGAAGATTGGGATAACCAAAGTGGGGGGGACTTTTGAAACACGGGAATAAGAAACACGAGGTAGTCTCCCTTGGAGGCGGAGATTAGAAATTGCCATGGCATAAGGGAGACCTTCTGCCTCTTTGAGGTAACGGATTTCCCGCTCGTTTAAGTAGATTGACAACGACCCAAGTACGAAGGGTGAGCCTCATGACAATTAAAGGGAAGAGGGAGGTCGATTGCCAAGACGTTTTTAGAATGGTCATCGGCACCACAGACTGGGCATTTCGGCGAAGATCTGCAATATTTCTGCTGGATGCCAAATCGCCAGCAATTTCTACACTGTTGTGGTGTAGGGATCACCTTTTGAACTTGTAACCAATGTCCTGCTACATAAACTGAGGATGGGGGTTCACGGCTGTCAAAAGTTAAACAGCCACATTGCTAGGGTATCGTCTCCCCCCGCGGGCAGGAAGAACGTAAGTGTCTACCTTGAGGATTGGGAATCTTGGGGTTCCAGCTGTTCAAGAATGTCAGTGCCACATGTCGGAAATTTTGTTGAACTAAGGTATGGGGCAGAATGACGGTACCACTACAAGAATTGAGGAATGATGCTTTTCAATAGTTACAGGAACAGTATCAAAATGGAAAAGACAAGAAAGCTCATGGCCTGGGTAGCATTCTGTACGGGACGATGCGCATACTACTCTTAAGAGCATGAAAAGAAATATCTTTACCAACATGGCGTAGGAGTGCCTTTCCAATACTGGGGGTCAGGAAAGATAGGAAGTAAAAGGAAGTCCGGTCGTAAAGTGAAGAATTTAGTCCATTGTGCAGTCTGAAACTGAGCGTGGAAAGGTAGTGAAGGACGTGTCGATCTTTTCTGAGAAGAACGAGAAGGTGGAGAAGTATCATCAGCAGGTAATTGTCGTTGGCGTTTAGGCGTGGGACCAGAGTTGGTCCGACGTGGAACGGGCCGGCGATTCGAAAATTGCCACACCGTAGAGGGAGGCCGGAAGCATAGTCAGAGGAGAGCAAAGGTCAGATAAATCGAAGGAGTCAGTCGAGGCCTCAGTACCTGAAGCGGGTGAGGAAACAGCACCGGCAAGAGGTACAGAGGCATGAGGAGTGTCCGAAGAGTGGTCCAAAGACGAGGCGGGGTCAGAACGGGGTGCGGTATCAAGAAGGGGCCCGGGGGTAGAAGGTTCATGGACTAGGGCTGCCATGGTTAGGTTACTTCTTTCTTTTTGTTTTTAAGAAAAAAAAAAAGAAAGAAGAAAATAAAAATAAAAAAGAATAAAAAAAAGGGGGGACCAGGGAGGGATAGTTCCTAGGAGGAATGAAAGGGCCAGAAATCTCCCTCCGCGCCCAAGAGACCTCAGCACCGCAAGTAGCGCAGATGCAGCATGGAACCCGTGCCATACCCTACCCATCATGCCAGTAAACCGGCAATCCGGGATAGCAACCTCACATCTGCCGAGCTACCTCGGTGGACAAAAGAGAGGGCAGCCGGAAATCCGCCACAAAGCATACCTCCTTCGGCCACCACCCCCGGAATCCGAAAGGTGGCTTCCAGAGATACACCCGTCGCCCGAGAGACACCCAAAGCCACCCTCCGGGATACCGGAGAGGGATCAGGACATCCCCAGGCAATCCAGATTCCACGGCAAACTACGCCACCGCCAAGAACCTCAACGGAATGGGATGGACCCCGGTACCCTTTCCCCTACCTAGGAACTAGTGTGCCTGTGGAAAAAAAAAAAAAAAAAAAAAAAAAAAAAAAAAAAAAAAAACCAAAGGCCAAAAAGGAAGGGCAAAAGGGAGGGGTGGGGAGGAGGAGGAGGAGGAAAGGAAAAAGGGGAGGATGGGATAGGGAACGGGGGATTGGGGGGTAATTAGGTTCGGTCTGAGGAAGTAGACCGACAGGTCTAATTCCTCAGACCAAGAGCCTCTTCACCAAATTATTTTGTTGCAATAGCAAGAACAAAAAATTCTGTAACAGACTCTGTTCATTGTTCCCACATCGACTGATTCAGCAGATTTTATTTTGTATTTCTGTAGTCTGCTAAATTGAGGATATACTTTCTTTCAAAGATTTGTAAATAAAAATTACTGAATAAACCATTTCCCAAGTTTAAAGTTGAATGTGAAAGTGATCAAGTTGTGAATAATTACACAAATACAATATTATATAAAATGGTCTCATGCGAGATATAAAAAAAAAAATTCTCATCTCATTTTGTGGACTGCAATCAATAAAGCTTTGTCCAATATTAATGTACACAAATATGAGATGTGGACAATTTGGAGAGGGAATGATTATGATTCAGAAAGACATTATGACAACAAAGTACACATAACTACTTTATCTCGGATAACAGCTGTTACTCTGTTTCCACCAATGAACAACTACATATCTGCAATTATGTACTTGGGTTTTTGGAAGGATAGCTCTAGCTCTTGGTTCTGCCTCTTAACTTTCAGCCAACTGACATGACTGAGCCCTGTCGTATATCTATCCTTCAATATCAGAAATATATAGTATTAAACAATATACAGTAAATAATGACTATGATTTGAAACCAAAATTAACATCATGCTTAAATGAATAAAAAAACATTTTACTGAATAAAAACAGCCCCTCACTAGGAGGCAAAAAAAATATGATAATTTATTAAAGCAGGCACTGATTATTATAGCAAGATTATACATTACAGTATGAACTTTCAAATTTTATCCTCTACCATTGTCTCCCAAGTACACATACCCAAAATGTTCAGCAATAAATGACACTAATCTCATATGCTCCATCAAAATTAAGAAACAAGTAATATGTACATGCTCTCAACTCCACATTGTTTTTACTTGAATCTTAAAAGTCTCAAAAACAAAGATGCCTATAATTAAAAATCAAGTGTAATTTCCATATTCCTTTCCTCATTCTCTCTTGTATACAGATATAAGTGATTACAAAATAACTTTCTAAACATTTTTCTAAAATACTATTTTACACGAATAAAGTGATTCATCACTTGAGGAGGTCCCGTCGCAATGTTTCTTGGCAAGTCATAATTACACACAACAAAATGTTTAATGTTTATGTGTGAACTTAACTGAAATCGAAAACTGCTCCGGTAAAATTTATGTCATTTATAGTATTTACCACTTGGAAACACACCTTGAAATTCTTGTCATTAAATACAGCTGAATATTCCACAAAACTTTTGTACTGATGAAAACTATACAATAAATTGTCAAATACTGTATCTTTGGCCCCACTACAGTATGAATTATAAAAAAAAAAAACACAAAAAATAATATACGTATAATAGTTACTGTAACTTAACATGTCATGAAACTAAGTCAATTTTAAGCTTCAAATTTCCAAGTACAAAACGATCAACTTAAGAGTGATGAACATTTGTATCTTGTCACCACAGTAAGCAAGACTTAAAACATACAAACACAAATGCATGCACTCACGCAAACATGCATGCATATACGCATGCACCTGCACATATGTATGAACCCCCACACATGCAGGCATGCACATGCATACATGCAGGTATGCACATGCGCATAGACCCACACACACACAAAACTCAGTTTCATTCTCTCTCAGCAGCCAATTTATGCATAAAAAATAGATCAATTGTAAAATTACAAACATGTGTTTCTTTTGTCAGTGTAAACAAGATAATTAGAGTCAAGGATCAATGTTCCCCTTTTATCCTAACACTCCCATTGTCAGTTAAGTTACCCATGCACTAGATGTATGGTTAGTATTATTATTATATACATGAGGAAGTGCTAAACCCATATGGGTTTGAGAGAGTTGATATGACTATTAGCAGGTTTAATACTGCAACATTGTGTTCTAAAATGGTATAATGATACTAACAAGATGTGGAAAAAGACACTTATATACAGTTCAGGACATTTATTAGAAGAAATATTTTGCCACGAGTCCTGAAGAAGCCACTCGTGGCAAGACATTTCCTATGATAAATGTCCTGGACTATACATAAAGTGTCTTTTTCCACACCATACTCTAAAATTCCCTCAAAAATAAATGAGTATCTATTATTTAATGGAGCTCAAAATTCAGACATATGGTGCAGTTTACAATATTATTATTATTATTATTATAAATGAAGTGCTGAACCCATAGGGGTCATACAGTGCATGAGGAATGGGAGGCAATCAGGTTCAATCCAAGAAGGGGAAGATATATTCACTTGGATCAAGAGTCCTCTGACCAGTATCAAGGCACCTTCCTTGAGAGGACAGTTTTACAAGTTCTGTAGACAATGCATATATAAGAAATGCAGTGTTCATGAAAGGATGAATCATAAAGTTGCTAATGCTAAGTTCATAGGCAAATCTGGGGAAGCAACATGTAGATTATTATTACAATCATAACTGAGCACTAAATCCACTTGGGTCAGTGATGTGTGGAGATCTTAACTTAAAAGATAAGATCTCATATAACATAATACATGGCACAATTTCTCTTTGCTCCTGACACAGTGAAAGTGGTAGAGTCAGAAGAGAAGCTGCCCAAGTTGGAGGACTTTTTAAGGATGTAAAAGAGGAAGAAACTGAAGGTTAGTGTAGAAAAGAACAAGGTGATTTCTATTTAGATGTACAGGGATTGAAACACCAGAATCATACTGGAAGAAAGGAGTAATGTAGGAAGAGAATGTATGTAAACACAGGAAGGCCCTGTGTATTTGGAACTCTCTTTCAGTGTTCCATGTTTTTGTTGGTTTTTAACCAAGCCACTGTTCATTATGTTCGGTACTTTTTCCACTTTTCCATACAACAGTTGTGTAAGGGAAGGCTGACCAGCACCATATTTTAAGGTAAGTATTGTATATACTGTGTATTTATTTTACCTCTGTATCTGCTTTTGGGCCACCCCACCTCAGTGGAATACGGCTGGTATGTTGAGAGAAGAATATGATATATACTTATCTATCATATTACCATCACTAGCTTAATGACATTTAAGACATTAATGTAAAGAGAGTAAAATCTGAGCAATAAAATATGTTATCCCTTTTACTTTAAGAGTGATCTTCATTTTCATCTGAATTCTAATAATCAAATATATCTTTGGTAATTTTTTAAGGCTATTAAACTAAGAGTTACAAAGTATTAAATAAAATTGAAGTAAGAAAATAGTTGATTACAGGACAGAAGACAACAAATTTGAATAGCTATCTAATTTATAAAATCCAGTATATACATAAATTAAAATAAATTTTGAGAAGCTAAATAAAAATAGGTTTAACCTTAATGATAATAAAAGATTTAAATAGCAGTCTACAAATGCGAGACAGATTGTCATTATTCTACTTTCTACCGTAACAAAAATGACCCTTAATCTAAGAGAAAAACTTAAACTTCAAATAATTTTAACAAAAATTTCCATGCAAATACTATTTAAATTAAAAATACCAACTATTTCTGTATGCAAACAGTAAAAAAAAACACGTTCAATGTACTGTATAACCATCATTTATTCATTGATTATCACCTCTATTCTCACTGGTGGCAGATGACAACAAAGGCCGCAGCTGTCAAGCACCACATCAGAGGGGCAAAATACAGTGCAAGACAATAAATAAAACAAAAAAGCTGTAAGCCACTCACTACATACATAAAATGAGGCAGTTTAACACATCATGGACACTCTTGGTTGGACTTTACCTTTACCTCTGATATACCTTTGATGAATTCTACTCCCAGAGACCAGCCATAGGCCAGGTTCGTCTGGTGCTTGCCTGATTAACCAGGCCGTTGCTGTTGGTGGTCCGCTTAGCCACTAATATCCCCAATCTTGTTGACTCTTAACCAAAATTTGCAATCAAGATAAAATAACCAAAAAATTTTGGTGTCTACTAAAATAAGGCATAATATACATCAATAACTAGATATATATATTTATTAAAAATTTTTAAATTAATTATTTATCCTAAAATATTTAAAAGAAGAATTAGCAAGGGTTAAATGCTCAGCATCATACCCTCTTGTATGTATGTTTCATGCAGTGAGACAGATTGATAGATACAGATAGAAATAGATATAGAGGAGAGGTTGTTGAGGTGATTCAGACGTGTAGAGAGGGTGGAACAAATAAGAATGACTTCAGGAGTACAAATCTGTAGTGGAGGGAAGGCAGGGTAGGGGTCAGCCTTGGAAAGGTTGAAGGGAGTGGGTAAAGGAGGTTTTATGTGCGAGGGGTTTGGACTTCCAGCAAGCATGTGTGAGCATATTTAATAGGAGTGAATGGAGACAAATGGTTTTTAATACTTGACGTAATGTTGGAGTGTGAGCAAAGTAACATTTATTAAGGGATCAGGGAAACCAGCAGGCTGGACTCGAGTCCAGGAGATGGGAAGTACAATGACTGCACTCTCAAGGAGGGGTGTTAATGTTGAAGTTTTAGAACTGTAGTGTAAGTATGCCTCTGGCAAGACAGTGATAGAGTGAATGATACGTTAGTGGGAATCGGCCGATGTGTTAATAAAAAAAAAAATAGATATAGAGATAGAGGTACAGAGAGAGTGAAAAACTTACTCTTTTTATTTTCTGGTTATTCCTTTAAAAAGGTGTCTGAGTGCAGAAACAAAAAAGTCCACAGGTAATAAAAAACTGACCCAAAATTCAAATGCTGATAAATGACCTTTCAATTTTCTGCCTGAACTCCTGCCCTTTCATCACGAATAATCCAGCACCCACTGTGCATTTACCATAAAATGCTAGAAAACATGCAGGAAACCAGTATTAAAAACTGAAGCAATAATTGGTAAATTTATATAAGAACTCTGTTTAATTTATATACTGTTTAATAATTTGGAAGAGTAACATTTAATGATCCTCTAACAATACACACACACACGCGCACGCATGCATGCACGCACGCACGTGCACACACACACACACACCAAAAAAAAAAAAAAAAAAGTGTAATATGTACAATATCATTATCTTGTAAATTAATTTTTGTATTGCATTTATGGCACTTGGTGTAAATGAAATTCTTAAGACAGGGTCAAATAAGGAAGCCAAAAATTTGCAGGAATAACTACTTCGTGTAAAACGAGGATTCGATTGGTTGTTAAGCAAACTGGTCGATAAGCAATGAGCCACCCCTTACCAATATTTCAAGCATACTGTACTGGTAATAGCTTTGTGTCAACCATCTTTGTTTTAATGTCACCTGTGCACTATTTATAAAATTTTTAGTATATTTTTAAATGTTTATATGATACTGAACTGTATACTGTAGTGTATACAGTACATCGACTGTATACAGTATACCGATTAGTCGGAGAGCTGGTTGTAAGTCCACACAGCTGTTAAACAGGCAGGTCGTTAAGTGAGGAGTATCTGTACAATATGGAACTTAAAACTTAGTACAAAACATTTAAATCTGAAATATCATCAGTTTTAGTGTGCCCAGACTATCTTTTCTTATGCATGTAATTTGGAAAAAGATTGAAAAAGAATATTAAAACTGTATATAGAACAGTATATTCTGAATTGTTACTCTCTTGTATGTCAAAATTTTAAGGAACTTTTAATACAGCAAACCCTTGATTTAATTGACTAACTGGCAAGTGGGTGACTGCAAAAGCTGACTGTCCATTAAATCAGAAAGGGTTTGTTTTTCAACACTTGCAACAATTACAGACAATTCTGAATTTAACAGGTAATCTGTTAGATCTGAAAATAAATTTACCCAATTGACTGCAACAATAAAAAAAATTGTCTCTACAATAATGAACAATTCTGATTCAATGAACTCTGTTAACCCCTTCAGGGTCCAAGGCCCAAATCTGAAGTGGTGCCCCAGTGTCCAAGAATTTAAAAAAAAAAAAATTATTTTTTCTTATGAAATGGTAGAGAATCTTTTTGTGAAGGTAATAAAACAAAAAGTACGAAATTTGATGGAAAATTGACGAAATTATGCTATCACGAATTTTGATGTGTCAGCGATATTTACGAATCGGCGATTTTGCTGACTTTGACTCCCATTTTAGGCCAATTACATTATTCCAGTCAACCAAATTCTTAGCTATTTCACTAGTATTACTTCTATTTCATCGATTGAGCACAAGAAATCGCCAAGTCAGCTGTTTCAACTACAAATTGAAGTGATCGGAAATTGTTAATTTGGCCAATTTAACACAAACTTCAAAATATTCCAATTTCAAAATAGGGTCCAGAATAAACAATGTAGGTATTCCTGGAACTAAACTAACATTCCCTCTGTTCATTAGTTATGTTTTGAGGCTTTACAAATAAATTCCATTTTGATTTTTTATTCACACAATGAATTTTTATTCACACCAAAATATAGAAGATTTACTGTTATGCAATACTGTAATAATTGTATATCATCACCATATTTGTGAATGCATATTAGACCCACCAGCTGGCGTGTATTTGACGTGTGAGGTTGTTTGTTTACTCTTGAATATCGGCAAAAATTTAACACTTCTGCTACTTTGAGCTCAGTTTCAAGCCATTTCCAGTGCTAAAACCAATCAAAATCATCTCTATTTCTGTAATATGTCTTCCATTCTATCAAATGAGACCAAGAAATCGCAAATACAACTATAAAAAACATACGAAAAAACACTGCAAAGTCGCTGTTTTAATCGAAAAATCATGATTTCAGTTTTTTTTCTCTCATTATACACAGTGTGCTGCAGGATCTGTTTTATGTGGTGCACACATACCACATAGATGCATTCTCTCATATCTAGGCCCAAATGTACCACTCACAGTTTATCAGAGTGAGCTGAGCTCATGACGTAGATCTACGGTTTGGACCCTGAACGTAAAACCGTAGATCTACGGGACGGACCCTGAAAGGGTTAAATCCAAAATCAACTTACCCAGTGGACAGAAACAATAATGGAAAATTTGAGATTTGACAGGCTTTGGCCAAAGTCTGTTAAATTCCAATTTTTCCATTATTGTTTCTGTCCACTAGGTAAGTTGATTTTGGATTTAACAGAGTTCATTAAATCAGAATTGTTCATTATTGTTTGAGGCAAATTTTGCCCAGTTTCCAAATGCTGTCTTGCCACAGATTTTGTGTGTTAAATTCAAAATCCTTTAAATCAGGGTCCATTAAATCGAGGTTTTACTATAACTTCTCAAACACAATGTTTTTTTGAAAAATGAAAGTCAGAAAAAAAACAATCCTTGACATTAAATTATGACATCTTTCTTATGCAAGTATGAAAATTGTATCTAATTTCTTGATTACCATCACTATTTCTCACAGAGATAGGGTGACCCAAAGAAGGAAACACGTACACCATTACTCATTCAATAGCTCTCTCACCAGAAAAAAGCACAGGCATCATTATTCTGATGAATGAATTTCAACATTCCTAACCCACTTCAAAACTCATTCAACCATCTGGTTTCCCTGAATAACTTCATATAAGTTACCTTGCTCACACTCAAACAGCACATCAAATCTCAAAAACCCATTATCTCCAACCTAACAAGTTTCCACAAGCCTGATGGATGCTCAAGTTCCTACAACTCAAAAACCTTCCTCATCATTCCAGATTTTTACAACTCTTGGTCAACCTATTCTAGCTCCAGCCTTTCTAAATGATAAAAATATCTGAATAAACCCCTTCTCTGCTACTTGAATTATATCTTTCATACCACCATCGCCTTTTAATACATGCATACAGTACTTCAAGGCTTTCTAAAATATTCACACTGAACATTAATCCCAAATATATATCTCCACTGCCTCCAGCCTCCTCCTCTTCATTGTATCATTCAAAGACCATGTCTCCCACCCATATAAAAGTGTTGGTACTACTAAGCTTTTGTTACATTCCCTTTTTCTTTGCCTCCTGTTGATAAATAATATTTTCATAGATACCTCAGTTCTCAACGTACCTTTCTCCCTGTCTATTCTATGATTCACTTCATCTTTTAGCAATCCATCCACTGACACATCCATTTCCTCAACGTATCTTTCTCTTCTTGTCGATTCTATGATTCACCTCATATTTTATAAATCCAAAGACACAAATCCATTTCCAAGCATCTAAATACTTTTATGTACTTTTTCCAAAACCGAGTATCAAAAATCCCCCCATCCTCCTGAAATGGTTGGCAAAAGCTTTTTCAAAATTAGTGAAGACTCTTCATCAGTGTCATGGAAAAATAAATAACAGGAATAGTATGCAAGAATAACACTTAGCTTGGGGAAAACGTAATCCTCAGCTTTGACCCAAGCTGAGTGTGATCCTTACCTCATGTCTTCCTTATTCTTCCATGGTATTGAGGATGAAGCATTAGTAATTTTGAAAAACTTTTGCCAATCATTTTCCCACTTCCGTAGGGAGGTAAAAAAATTTTTTTTTTTTTTTTATCTCAACAGCTGTCTCCTGCCATAGACAGGGTGATCCAAAGAAGAAAACACATTCACCATAAGTCATTTAACCACTGTTTTATCAGAAGTGTGCTGACATCACAATCCAGCTTACCCTCCAGCTGCAACATCCCACCCCTCCTTCAGAAAGTACACACCCTTCCTTTAGAAAGCAGGCACCTCTCCTTCAGAGAGCAGGAACCCCTCTTTCAGAAAGCAGGTGCCCCTCCTTCAGAAAGCAAGCAGTGCTCTTCTGAATGAGGGGTGGGGATATTACAGTCAGACAGTAATCTAAATTGTAAATGTATATACACTATATGTATAACTGAGTCAACAATATACAATATGCAAAAATTAATTAAACTAGCCTAGTTGGGAAGTATTCAACTGTCCTATATGAGATAAAGTGGTTACTGTCTCAAGAGAATTACAATAGTGTATAAAGCATTTTAATTAAAGAGAATTACAATAGTGTATAAAGCATAACCGAATAAAACAATAGGAAAACACAAGAAAAGTTGAAAATTAGATAACTAAACAAGAAAGAACTGCCTTTCCAACAGTTTTGTATATTATTGTGACTCCACAAATAGTCTAATTTTATATATAGAATATTTGAACAATTTTCAACTTGGCTAGTTTAATACATTTTTGTATGCTGTATATCATATAATAATAGTATTTCTATACATATACAGCCTAACATACAGTATATACATGTATGTGAAACTATAATATGTAGTATACAAATCAATGCAGTATATAACAAAATGTCAATGTAATGTATAATAAAATAATTTGATTGTAAAAATACAAGTACTTTTAAAAGGTGCAGGCTACGTAAAAATGCCAGATTTTTTAAATAATTTAAAACAGGCCTATTAGCTATAAAAATCAATATTTACAAATGATAATGAAAGTATTAGTACTATGAAAGATGATAAAAATTAATGTAATTAAAATCATAGAGATTTCAAACATTTCTGAGACAAAAAGAATTGGATTATTGTATTATAAAACATATAAACCTTTATGGGTCACATAAAGGGGTGTAATTAAGTTATTGGCAATATGAAGAGATATTAGTAAATGTTGGGGAGATTTTAAAATAGGCCAAGTAAGACCACTGTGAAAATAGAAGAGCATTAAAAATAAAATGTACCTAATAAGTTCTTGTATCCAGTACACTGTATATCCATTCTACAAATTTATATACAGTGTACTGTATATACATTCATATAAAGCTTGATATAAAGTATATAAACATGCATACAGAAGACATGCAATACTGAAATAAACACCACATATCTGAAACCCATTCTGTTGGTAATTTTAATTTAAAAGGATTGTCATGAAGCTAATAACATGAAACTAAATCCCTCAAAATGGTCAATAATTAAAACAAATTTTGTGGAATAAACAATCTGCAAGTATTAGAAGCATTTGTCAAATATCTCTTGAGACTTTCTTCATAACTCTTCTTTCCATCCAATTCATCAATAATGTTTGTGACACCCACACTTCCCACTATGCACAATTTTGAATGTTTATATAATTAAAATTTCAGTTTATTAATGTAAATTAATACAAAGGTCAATGTGCAATGCGTCTCCAATTTCTAAAGGAACAAAAACTATCACTGAAAGTGAAGGGAAACTCCAAGTAATATATTATATATTAACTCATCAGCAGTAACTGTGGGCATATATACATATGTATGAAAGAAATACCAGTGAAAATAGGAAATAAAACCTAAGTGCTTTTATGTGGTTACACATGTATTTTTTGAAGATTGTGCAAACACATGAAAGCACTCAGGTTTTATTTCCTGTTTTCACTGTGGTATTTTTTTTTCATATTTGCAATCACACATTTTGTTGTTATTCTTTCCATGCATATATATGAATGTACATTTCATGTAAAGTCTCACATTTATACACTGGTATGTACATTCCAGCATGTGTATAGAATCAAACACAAATGTATATATAAACACATACATATGTATTCAAACACACATTTCTCTTACTTTGGTTCTGCTAAACAAGACTTTACCACCTTAAATGCATAAGCAAGGTAAGTCTCTAGGGTACACAAAGTAATCACCACAAGCGAGTGTACCCAACTGGATTGGGCTGAGAGATCTTTATATATGATAGTGAAAAAATGGAGCAATAAAAAAAGTTTACACTTTTTCTAGTATTCATTCCTTACTAACTGATGAATTACTCATTTTGGTGCGATGTAAGATATCTGATAAATCTCATACATTTTGACATTTGTGTATGTATGTATGCATGATCAGAGTTGAAAAATAAGTGTGTGTCTATTCATCCACACTTATGTAATGACAAACATACAGTACATTCAAATAAACACAAAATACAAATACATACACACATGGACAAATGCCCATACCCACACTCATAATCATTTATTATCTGTATTCACATTATTATAAACTTCCACAAAAGTGAGGACACAATCACGAGGCGGTCAGTATTTGTTAATACTTGAACACATTAAATCACATCACCATGTTCCCACAAATGCATCTCTACTTGCACCTACTCAGCATTTGAGGTCATCGTGGGCACCCAAGTTGGCAAGCGTTTTCTTGATACGAAGAGCAGTGAGACGAGCCGCTGCATTATGGTACCAGCACTCTTTCATTAACTTACTCATCACTCGCAAGTCCTGAAATATAACAACTTTCTTCGATTTACCATAACTTATGATGCAACCATTTATCTACAACCATAACTTATTGCTAATAAGGCTGTTCAGAAAAGTTTGGAGGCTATGATATTTTCTCTCAAATGAGAAGCAAAATCAAATGAAAAGGAATAAATTTTTAGTACCAATCACTGTGATAGACAATAACAATAATGGATTTAAGTGTACTACACTTTAAGGAACACATCTAATTTGAATTATTGTGCCTCAAAAGCATGTACCTTTCAATTAAAGTAGCACTTTACTCTCTCCTTGAAGATTTTTATTACTGTGATATCATATTCAAGAAGAAGCACTAAACCTGTATGGGACTAGTTGACAAAATAGGCTAGTAAAATGCCTGTGTCAATCAAGAACCTTTGGGAGAGGGTGGCAATTCAAGAGAGCACATCAAGGTTTTGAAAAATGTTAAAAGTGAATAAAATCTGTGTGTTCTCTGATAGATAGGAAAGTCAACAGATGTTGTACTGCTAGCACAAGAAAACTGGTACTTAGCAAATTCATTTAACATCTAAGAAATTATTTCGCTCCTACCAATTTGCTATGCAATCTCAAACATCTATCATTATCCTTATGCAAAATCTTTCATCTTCACCCACTCTACAACAACCCATACCTTAAATCATTAGACGTGTCTACCATATCATTTTAATTTACTAATCTATATGCATACCATCAGTTTGCTAAAACCATATGCTCATATAAAATTTAATATAAACACTACAAACATTTTCTGTAGTGATCGTAATAATCTCATCTACGAAAAGTGGCTTTATTAAAGTATATTACTTTTCATTACCACCTGGGCCAATTTCAAGCCAACATAACAAAACTGCATAAAAAGATAAAATCCTAAAATAAAAATGAAAGGGAAAAAAATGAGCAAAACTAAATTACATTCGCTAAAATATTTAACAATAACTCGATAAGGAATAAACTAACCTCGCAGGACTGCCATTTGTTAGGGATGATCGGTCGCTGCTTGTATATACATACCACCTTTCTCATCTCCTCAATGGTTGGATCATTGGGGACCATGTCATAATATGGCAACTGGTATTCCTCACACCCACCACCTGAGAGTTTAACAAAAATCAAGCATTATGTTTTTTTAATGAAATATGCATTTATTTACATATAAAAGAATTTCAGTAAGAGGAAACTGAAGATCAATAAACAATGTCCATCTCAGAACAAACAAAATAACTGCTAGCAAGGAACTTTTAAGATTAACTAAATTAGCCTATCTTAATTTCCCCATTTAATCACTTGAACATATAATTTATTACAGAACATACTTCTACAAACACTCTTAAACTAAATAAAATAATTCCTTCGTGGAGGAGGTGTTTTTACACTGTACGGCTTGCAATGGCAGAGTATATAAAAATTTTTTTTTTTACACATCAGCCATCTCCCACTGAGGCAACCCTGGTGATGTGCAAGGGTGTGGGGTGGGGGTTGATAGTGGAGTTGATGGTAAATGAGCATGCAACATGAATGTCAGAGTTGGTACAATAAGTAAGTTTCAGTTTATAAATCAAAGAATGAGTCTGTTGTATTATGCTCTGGTTGAATTAAGGATTAAAAAACATGGGAAGGGACAAGTTAAAACCTGAAAGCACATACAATATACATAAAATAAAAAAAATAAGTAGGAAAAATATATAAATACACAGTGGACCCCCGAGTTTCGTGATTAATCTGTTCCAGAGAGCCCGCCGGAGGTCGAAATTCACGAAACTCGAAACCATTTTCCCCATAAGAAATAATGGAAATAAAATTAATCCGTTCCAGACACCCAAAAATATTAAAATAAAATATTTTTTTTCAAATTAAATAAAGATTTACATAATGAAAACAATCAGAAATCAAGTACATGCATTTAAAATAAATAATAACAACATTACACTTACCTTTACTGAAGACTTCTGGGTGGATGGAAGATGGGAGGAGGTGATAGGAGGAAGGTGTACACTACTGTTTGGAAGGAGAATCTCCTTCCATTAAGACTTTAGGTAGCAAGTCCTTATCTGGGGTTACTTCCCTTCTTCTTTTAATGCCACTGGGAACAACTTGAGAGTCACTGGACCCCTGGCACACAAAATATCTATCCAGAGAGGTCTTTTTCTGGCGTTTCTTTAAGATTTCCCTGAAGTGGGACACAACACTGTCACTGTACATGTTGCAGATACGGCTTGTTTCAGCTTGGTCAGGGTGATAATTTTCAGCAAAATTTTGCAACTCATTCCACATTCCACACATGTCCTTAATCACTGAAGAAGGCACCTCATCCACTCTTCCTCCTCCTCTGAAGCAAGTTCTTCGGCTGTGGTCTGATGCTGTTCCAGTTGAAGCTCTTGCAGCTCGTCAGTGGTTAGCTCTTCCCTGTGGTCCTCCACCAACTTTCCACATCCCCGTCACTCACTTTATTTACCATAGGGCTTGCACTAGCTTTCCTTGTGTCTATGATGACTTATTTAGCAGTTGCAAGCACAAAAAACAATGGATTATTATGAAATGTATTGTATGAACCCGCAGGGTGATGGTCATGTGTTGGTAAACAATGGCACACTGAGCGAGAATGGTGTGGGAGACTGGCTTTGTGTGTGTGGTGACGGGCGGACGGGTACCGGATGGTGCCGAAACACGAGTTTTTTCACGAAACTCGAGGCCAAATTTTTCAAAAAAAAAAAAAAAAAAAAAAAAAAAAAAAAAAAAAAAAAAAAACTCACCGAAGGTCAAATTTCACGAAAATCGAGGCTGCCGAAACTCGATGGTCCACTGTATATATATATATTTTTTTTTTCAACAAACCGGCCGTATCCCACCAAGGCAGGGTAGCCCAAAAAGAAAATCGAAAGTTTCTCTTTTTAAATTCAGTAATTTATACAGGAGAAGGGGTTACTAGGCACTTGGCACTTGCTTCCAGCATTTGTATTCTGAGCACCTCTGCAAAAACAGTGATAATGTATGAGTGTGGTGAAAGTGTTGAATGATGATGAAAGTATTTTCTTTTTGGGGATTTTCTTTCTTTTTTGGGTCACCCTGCCTCAGTGGGAGACAGCCGACTTGTTGAAAAAAAAAAAAAAAAAAATTCAACAAGTCGGCCGTCTCCTACCGAGGCAGGGTGACCCAAAAAGAAAATCCCTGCTCTAGCCCACCTTTCTGCCAATAGTTGCTTATATTTCACCCAAACTTCCTCCTCCCTTAGTTTATACACTTTCACCTCCCTCTTACTTGTTGTTGCCATTTTCCTCTTATCCCACCCACCTCTTACTCTAACTTTAGCTAGAACTAGATAATGATCTGATATATCAGTAGGTTGGTAGACAGCAACCACCCAGGGAAGTACTACCGTCCTGCCAGATGACTGTGAAACAAAAACCTGTAACTGTTTTGCATGATGGTAGGATTGCTGGTTTCTTTTTCTGTCTCATAAACACGCTAAGATAACAGGGATATCTTGCTACTCCTACTTACACTTTGGTCACACTTCACAGACACGCACATGCATATATATATATACATACATCTAGGTTTTTCTCCTTTTTCTAAATAGCTCTTGTTCTTTTTTATTTCTTCTATTGTCCATGGGAAGTGGAAAAGAATCTTTCCTCCGTAAGCCATGCGTGTCGTATGAGGCGACTAAAATGCCGGAGCAATGGGCTAGTAACCTCTTCTCCTGTAAACAATTCACTAAAAAAGAGAAGAAGAAAAACTTTAAAAACTGGGTTGCTTAAATGTGCGTGGATGTAGTGCGGATGACAAGAAACAGATGATTGCTGATGTTATGAATGAAAAGAAGTTGGATGTCCTGGCCCTAAGCGAAACAAAGCTGAAGGGGGTAGGAGAGTTTCAGTGGGGGGAAATAAATGGGATTAAATCTGGAGTATCTGAGAGAGTTAGAGCAAAGGAAGGGTAGCAGTAATGTTAAATGATCAGTTATGGAAGGAGAAAAGAGAATATGAATGTGTAAATTCAAGAATTATGTGGATTAAAGTAAAGGTTGGATGCGAGAAGTGGGTCATAATAAGCGTGTATGCACCTGGAGAAGAGAGGAATGCAGAGGAGAGAGAGATATTTTGGGAGATGTTAAGTGAATGTATAGGAGCCTTTGAACCAAGTGAGAGAGTAATTGTGTAGGGGACTTGAATGCTAAAGTAGGAGAAAACTTTTAGAGAGGGTGTGGTAGGTAAGTTTGGGGTGCCAGGTGTAAATGATAATGGGAGCCCTTTGATTGAACTTTGTATAGAAAGGGGTTTAGTTATAGGTAATACATATTTTAAGAAAAAGAGGATAAATAAGTATACACGATATGATGTAGGGCGAAATGACAGTAGTTTGTTGGATTATGTATTGGTAGATAAAAGACTGTTGAGTAGACTTCAGGATGTACATGTTTATAGAGGGGCCACAGATATATCAGATCACTTTCTAGTTGTAGCTACACTGAGAGTAAAAGGTAGATGGGATACAAGGAGAATAGAAGCATCAGGGAAGAGAGAGGTGAAGGTTTATAAACTAAAAGAGGAGGCAGTTAGGGTAAGATATAAACAGCTATTGAGGATAGATGGGCTAATGAGAGCATAGGCAATGGGGTCGAAGAGGTATGGGGTAGGTTTAAAAATGTAGTGTTAGAGTGTTCAGCAGAAGTTTGTGGTTACAGGAAAGTGGGTGCAGGAGGGAAGAGAAGCGATTGGTGGAATGATGATGTAAAGAGAGTAGTAAGGGAGAAAAAGTTAGCATATGAGAAGTTTTTACAAAGTAGAAGTGATGCAAGGAGGAAGAGTATATGGAGAAAAAGAGAGAAGTTAAGAGAGTGGTGAAGCAATGTAAAAAGAGAGCAAATGAGAGAGTGGGTGAGATGTTATCAACAAATTTTGTTGAAAATAAGAAAAAGTTTTGGAGTGAGATTAACAAGTTAAGAAAGCCTAGAGAACAAATGGATTTGTCAGTTAAAAATAGGAGAGGAGAGTTATTAAATGGAGAGTTAGAGGTATTGGGAAGATGGAAGGAATATTTTGAGGAATTGTTAAATGTTGATGAAGATAGGGAAGCTGTGATTTCGTGTATAGGGCAAGGAGGAATAACATCTTGTAGGAGTGAGGAAGAGCCAGTTGTGAGTGTGGGGGAAGTTCGTGAGGCAGTAGGTAAAATGAAAGGGGGTAAGGCAGCCGGGATTGATGGGATAAAGATAGAAATGTTAAAAGCAGGTGGGGATATAGTTTTGGAGTGGTTGGTGCAATTATTTAATAAATGTATGGAAGAGGGTAAGGTACCTAGGATTGGCAGAGAGCATGCATAGTTCCTTTGTATAAAGGCAAAGGGGATAAAAGAGAGTGCAAAAATTATAGGGGATAAGTCTGATTGAGTGTACCTGGTAAAGTGTATGGTAGAGTTATAATTGAAAGAATTAAAGAGTAAGACGGAGAAAGGATAGCAGATGAACAAGGAGGCTTTAGGAAAGGTAGGGGGGTTGTGTGGACCAGGTGTTTACAGTGAAACAAAATAAGTGAACAGTTATTTAGATAAGGCTAAAAGAGGTCTTTGTGGCATTTATGGATTTGGAAAAGGCGTATGACAGGGTGGATAGGGGGGCAATGTGGCAGATGTTGCAAGTGTATGGTGTAGGAGGTAGGTTACTGAAAGCAGTGAAGAGTTTTTACGAGGATAGTGAGGCTCAAGTTAGAGTATGTAGGAAAGAGGGAAATTTTTTCCCAGTAAAAGTAGGCCTTAGACAAGGATGTGTGATGTCACCGTGGTTGTTTAATATATTTATAGATGGGGTTGTAAGAGAAGTAAATGCGGGGGTCTTGCAAGAGGCGTGGAGTTAAAAGATAAAGAATCACACACAAAGTGGGAGTTGTCACAGCTGCTCTTTGCTGATGACACTGTGCTCTTGGGAGTTTTCTGAAGAGAAGTTGCAGAATTGTGGATAATTTGGTAGGGTGTGCAAAAGAAGAAAATTAAAGGTGAATACAGGAACGAGTAAGGTTATGAGGATAACAAAAAGATTAGGTGATGAAAGATTGAATATCAGATTGGAGGAGAGAGTATGGAGGAGGTGAACGTA